GTGACCCCCGAGTTTATAATTAAGATCATAAACAGATGTTTTTCGGAAGGGGCATTCCCGGAACAATGGAAAATTGCGAAAGTAATAATTCTTAATTAAAACCGTCCCCACAAACGTTCCTGTCAACCTCTTTCATAGGCTCTTTCTACTTCCCCTTGCTTTTCTTAATAGCTTGTTGCTTGTTTATTGTCTGTAGTCTTCTTGTAGGGCAGCCTGTGCTCTGTTTAATTTCCTGGCTCCTATGAGAGCCCTTGTAGCCTTTATAGACGCTTTCCATTTCTCGGCGATATCGCTATTACCCCAATACGTTCGTCTCCTATTTTTTCCCCCTCTCTTTTTTGGAATAGTTTCACTGCACACTTCCGTGATAGCTTTAATACATGCTTCCGGTATCTTTATCCGGTCTAGTTTTTCTTTTAAGGCATTTCCCGTCTTGTCTATATCCATTTTTTGCAGGTTCCACCTAGTCGCTGCTAATATCTTTCCGACGGCGCGGCGGCGATATTTTGTTGGGCAAATGATCCATTCCATCTTATGATAGTTGGTTTACCACCTTCGTTGTAGATAATTAAGTTTTTTTTTTGGGATCCATTTCGTGATGATCGTACCTCCACAATCGGTTCTTTATTCACCCCACTCAGCTGATACAATTGAAATCACCGGCGATGAGACTTATCATAAGCCTTTGACCCAATATGCTTTTAGATGAGACTTTATATTGCTGCGGCCACTGTTTGAAATGTCCACTTCGCTTTTACAAATTTCACAATAAGCAATGTGGGGAGAAGCACTGGACTTTAGTTTCAAGAATGGATATTCCCGTTGTAGTTCTGAATTAAAATGGCACTTTCTCCGGGGTGGAGACATTTTTATCGCTATTTTCAAACAAAGCCCAGCACGCTCTCTGTACTAGCTCCGGAATAACTACGCAGGAATAGGAACGGAATAATCACGCACAATGTGATGTGACGACTGATGAAATATGACATCGATGCTGCATTTGATAGAGTGGAATGGACATATGTAATATTAATAAATATTAGATATGACTTCGAAATCATATGATCATAAGTTAGTATAAAAAAGTACATTTTAATGTACTTTGCTCTTCTGTGAAGACAAAAGGACATCGTTTCCAAAAAAAGTACTGTTCTATTAAAATAAGTACATATGGTCACCATAGCTATACTGCATAATAGGTGCCAAATGAATATCTTTGATTTTCCGCAACGCTCGGAAAATAAATGGGGTATTTTTGTCAGTTGTATGGGCATCAATAATGTCTTGGAACTTGGATTCCATAATTTGTTCTTGGCCTCCAATTTCAACTGGTAGCAAAACAGAATATTTGCGGAAGGTCATACATTGTGTGGATGTTGTTTTTGCCAAATGTAAAATATGGAGTTTGTATCGAGGCTTTACTTTAAGGGCCTTCACATTATTTGTCCCCATATCACAAATAGTGGCAACAACATCAAGTCCGCCAAACGTGGTTGCTGCATGCAGGACTTCTTGAAGGCACTTCACTAATGGCTGGTTTCTGGAACGATATTTAACCGACCAGTTAGTTTAACTCTCCGATAAATTAGTAAATGGGTTGCTAGAAACAAATTGTCAGTTTAACCGAGCCAAAATGCACAGTTAAACTAACGCGGCATGGAGGTCCGTTAAATTTTATCTGACGCATGCGCAGTCACTAATTGGCAAATTGTTGAATGCCAATGGTCGCTGTTTCGTGTTTTGTTTTGATTTTTGATTTCGATTTTGGAGTGTTGGTGTTGTTCTGCAAGGATTACTTCAGCAATTTCAACAAATTGACTACAATTTAGTGAAAACAAAATCAGTTCTTTTCAAAACTTTGCGTCTGCGGGGTCAGAGAGAATGGAACTTGCTCGGGCATTCGAGAGTTCAAGTTCTTCCTCTGATGAGGAATTGGGTGACCTTTTAGTGGTTGTGGATAGGGTGAAAGTATTCAGAGATAGACATAACCCTTTCTGAGTTTCGTGATCGATACCGTTTTTATAAAGACACTGTGAGACACATTATTACTTTGATTGAAGACAACATTGCCCCCATGACGTTAAGAAATTGTTCGCTTTCTGCTGCAGATCAGCTACTTATCGCTTTGAGGTTCTAGGCAACAGGTAACTATCATACAATTAATAACAAAATGTTAATCGTATCCTATAATGTAGGAGCATTCCAAATTCTCGTTGGTGATGACTATGGTGTCCACAAAAGTTCAGTATGTCGTGTGGTACGAGTATCTGAACATCTAGCAGGGATGTGCCCACATTTTGTAAAAATGCCGGAAAACCAGCAAGAAAAACTACTAGTGAAGACAGGTTTTCATGCGATACGAGGCTTTCCAAATGTTATTGGTTGTGTGGATGGTAGCCATGTTCCCATAACATCACCTGGTGGAGAAAATGCTGAGATATTCAGGAATCGGAAAACTTATTTCTCCATCAACGTGCAAGCTGTTTGTGATTCAAAGTTAAACATCCGTGATATTGTTGCACGTTGGCCAGGATCTACACATGACAGCACAATATGGAACGCTTCACTCTTAAGCGCAAGATGTGAAAATAGAGAATTTCAAGGGTCGTACATACTCGGAGATAGTGCCTATGGTTGTAGACCTTATTTAATGACCCCTCTTCCAAATCCAACAACTCCAGCAGAACGTAATTATAATGCAGACCACAAAGCAACTAGAAATTGTATCGAACGTTGTTTCGGGAATTGGAAACGAAGGTTTGCATGTCTATCTCTGGGACTACGAACAAAATTGGAGAACACCTTGACAATCCTAGTAGCAACTGCAGTGCTGCACAATATTGCCATTAGCCAAAATGATCAAGCTGACGATTTTGAAGCAATCCAGCAATATGAAGATGTGGAAAATGACGTTAACAATGACGATTTTCCAGGTGGCAATGCTGCAAGGAGAGCACTAATAGACACAGTTTTCAGGTAAATTTATTAACTAACAAAACTTTATATTTAGAAAAAATTTATACAAAAACTACACCTATATATCTTCCTCTGCTGCTTGCAACCTATTAAGTTTAATTTGCCGCATTTTTAGCTCAAAACTGATTTCCTCCACTCTATGCTGAACATTTAATTCAAAGAGTTTTCGGTCTGAACAATTCTAGGGTAGAATTGTGGGAGTGAGTAAAAAGCCAATAAAGCTTAATACTAATTTTATTCAAAACAACCTAACTTATTTATACAAATCTAATTATTTACAGCGTATGAGTGGTTCTAAACTAAAGGTAATGCGAGATATGAAATTGTATTGCGACCCAGTTTCTTGTATGTTCTTTTGTTTCATTACCGTTGCCTTCTTAACGCTGACGATGGTGCTTGTGCGGTAGTCAGCGTTTCGTAGTTCTGGTACTTGCAATTCCATGTTTCAGCGTTCTACATTCTTCTTGTTGGTCTTGACCTTCTTATTGATGACGTAAAGAGGAAATTTAAATTTTAAAAATTATTGTTTAAATTTAGGATTTAAACATGTTGGGTCTCTCGAAATGGACAGGGGCGATGGGGTTTGTAGAAGGCTTGCACTGAGATCGCAATGGTATGGATTGGTAATTAATTAGGGTACTCTTGGCGGGTAAATGGGCATCATCTCGACAGCCTCCTCTTGAGGTCGTGGTTGCGTCCTTTGTCTTCTTCGTTGAATAAAGAACCATGCTGCCCAGACTGCAGCCCCAATTGTTAGAACGGTGCTTCTGATGATGACGTTGAATCTTACAATGTGCAGAGTTATCTTTGGCCACGTTGTTTTTTGAAGTTCGGACTGTATTTCTTCTTCTTCCTTTTCTAATTCTTGTTGTGTGTTCAGCCTGGACCATGGCTTCTTTTATTGGTATTAACTGTTGATGGATTTTTGGTGGAGCCAAATTTGCCACCACCGGCCGTGTGGTAGGTTTGGGTGTGACTGGAACTGATGCCATTTTTCGAAGTGTTGGTGGATTTTGCTTTGGTCTTGAAGCAGGTTTCGCAATTCCTGCAGCTTGCCGATTTTCTTTTCTTGTCATCATGCTTTTGACCGTTATGCGTTTGTTATTTCTTTTTTCTTCTTTTATTATGGTACCGGACAAGATCCATCCAAATTCTGTTTTTTGACCCATTAAACCATCGTTTGTTTTTTGGATACCGTTGAGTATTATGTTGCGGTATTCACCCGCGCCCAGCAATACATCAATTGGGCCCTTATCTTGGATCCGCGATGAGATGATTTTGCCACACCTGAAGATCTGTTTCGATGTCTTCTTCTGGTAGAGATTCTGTAATTTTTGGTAGTACCAGTAGGTCTGTTGTGAGTGTGAAATTACTCGAAAATCGTGGAGCGCACTTGACTCTAATTTTGGAGTTTGATTTGTTCGGTATTTCTCCTCCAAGTCCAGTTATATCGGCTTGAATGTGTTCTCTGGGTAGTGACAAGAGCGTTGCAGCCTTTTCTGTTATGAGCGATGCCTGTGATCCCGGTTCAATAAGGGCTCGTAGGTATTCGTAGGTGCCGTTTGCTGTTCGTACTCTTAATAATGCTGTGGCCAGAAGTACCTGTTTGTTTTCAATGCCTACATGGCTTTGAATTTTCTTCGTTGAGTTTTCTCCAGAGTTTGGAGTTTGTTTGTTTGTTGAGTTGAATGTTTTTTGCTGGTTGACCTTTGGGTTGCTGCTTCGGTCGTTGTGTAATAATGTATGGTGCCTTCTTTTGCATTTATGGCATGATGCTGTGCTGAAGCATTGTTTGCCTGCATCGTGGCTTAGGCAGTTCGTACACAGCTGTTTGTTGTTTATGAATCTCCATCTGTCTTCTGGCGATTAGGTCAAAATCAATAGTTTATTTTACTATTATAAAATTAACTATTAATTAAACAAATGTTAGACAAAAAGTATTATAATAAAGATTTACAAAACAAAATGATTTTGTCTTTTATCTACTTATTACTTGTTCTGAGCAAATTGATATTGAAAAAAGAAATGAATTAAATAACAAATTACATTATGTAGGTAGGTACTTAATACGCAATTCTGGTCCACCGTTATCTGATCTTACTGAACCACTTCAGGATCGCTGCAAAGAAAAAAATTTAGTTGGGGAGGTAAAAAAAAATGGCCGAATTTAAGCATAGACTATTTTTAGATAAATGTTTTTTACCTGTACTCCATAAAATGTCTGAATGCCGTTTCAAACTGCATCCCTTGTGCATCGTTTTCAAAAATTAATAATGGATCGGGCTTGTTGACCTCTTCATACATATTTATTTGTATTTGGTCGTGGTCACTCCCATACGTCTCGATTTCATCCCTATATATGGTTGTGCGGTAGAGTTGTAATCCATTTGCCTGATTATTACTTTCTCTAATAACTATAGTCTGGCTTTCAGTATGGAAAAATATTTGCACCCAAAATAGGGAAGCTCCGTCTACGACATGAAGTCTTGCAAGATGTGCCATTTTCTTATTTTGAATACTATACTTCTTCACCTGTTTGCGGTGTGCTTGTAAATGACGAAAATCTTTCATTAGCTTTTTTAAGTCCATCGTATCTAAAATAAAATTCCAAATATTGTTTTTCATCATTATTTTTGTACACGTACCAAGACTGCAAAAACCACACAAAGATAAGGCTACAGCCGCAAACAAAGAACCGAATCAAACCACCGAACGTCAACGTGTCGAACAGCGTTGGTTACGGGTGCGTGCGCAAACTGAGGTTGCCTTCCAGCTGGATGTATAAATGGTTGTATAAATGGCTAGTATTAATTCGATTATTGGCCGATTGTTTTTTTCTCCTAGTTCCAAATCCATAATCCGTTATAAGAAGTCAGTCCAAAGACGGTGTTAAACCCAATTTATTTAATAAATTTTCCATTTACATACTACAATAAATTATTCATTACCTAGTAACAATAAAAAAGAATTATTAATTATAGTTTCCAATTGATTAACAACTAAAAGAATTAAAATCCAAATGGTATTGTATCAAAATTTTCCAGAATAACTCGTCGTACCGTATGCTCTTAAATTAGAGTAAAAAAATATGTAGGTAAATGTAACTGTTTATATTTCAGAGCTAGAAGAATCCGTCACACCTGGGTTTATTTCAGTGACGCCATCGTCAGCAGGTAAAATGAGCCTCACCTTAGACTATTAAACTACAGTTAAAAAATATCTACATATATGTAATTACTTATATTTCAGGAGTAGAAGTACCCGACACACCACAGTTTATTGAAGTGAAGTCACCAACATCAGGTAAAATGAATTGTATTATATACTATTGAACAATAGATACATGTAAACATTTTTTACTTCAGAACTAGGAGTTTCCTTCGAACCAGAACTTACTAAAGTGACGCCACCACCAACAGGTAAAATAATTCACTAAAAAGGATTTGCTATCGTACAAAAATCAACGTTTATTAAAAAATATGTTTTAAGGGAACTGTCATTCTGTACTTTACTAACATGGTTTTAGTTAGATGATTGTCCGCAGAGGATGCCCAAAAATAATGAATGAAACATATGTTTTCAGTTTTTTCGGAAACATTCCATCTGATAGTTTAATTTCAAAACGACCCATTTAATTTGGCCAAAAGGATTCCTTTACATATTTTAAAATTAAAATATTTATTTGTATTAGAAATTAACAATAAGTGAATCTTTACCGAAGTAAACTAACATGCGTACAGAATTGGGTCTGCCTCAGGGGCGAGGGAAGTTACGTCTAAATAACTGTAGGCTGTTTTTTTTTATCTAAGTGAATATTTGTGTTTCAGAATCACAACCTCAGTGGTTTCAAACTATGACACAATATTTTTCGCCTACAGCAGGTACGATAAAGAATACCTATAAATAGTTTTAAATTATATAAAATTTAAGTACTTAAGACCACTTTTTTCATGGTCTGTAGAGAATGACTAATTTTCTACCTTCACGTAAGTAACTTTTATTAACGTGAAAATTATTTCAGCAACAGAACCACCTGAGTTGCCTGTGACTACCAAAATATTGCTTCCTCCAGGTATGTTTAACAGTACCTATATGTAATTTTTGTTAATATTTTTGTTTTAGCAACAGAAGCACCTCAGTTCTCACACATTACCGAAACATTTTTGCCTCCTCCATCAGGTACCGACACATAATTTTAAATTAAATATACGTAAATTTTAATTTAATTTGATAAGAACACGTTTTTAAGAATCTGTAGCAAATGACTGATCTTTCACCCTGTGTCTTTTTATCTATGTGAATATTTATGTTTCAGCGCCAGAAATGTTTCAGGGGCCTGAAATTTTCGAACAATATTCGCCTCCTCCAGGTACGACTAGCTAAATCTACAAAAAGTTTTAAATTAAACATAACTTTTGATTTCTTAAGAGTATTTTTTAAAAGTTTGTCGGAAATTAATAATTTTTCACCCTGTATAAATGTCGTATCTATGCGACTATTTATGTTTCAGCGCCTGAAGTATTTCAGGAACCTGAAATTATCGAACAATATTCATCTTCTCCAGGTACGATTAGCCAAACCTACAAAAAGTTAAGTTTTGATTTCTTAAGAGTATTTTTTAAATTTGTCGGAAATTAATAATTTTCCACCCTGTATAAACGTTTTATCCATGCGACTATTTAAGTTTCAGCGCCAGAAGTGTTTCAAGGACCTGAAATTATCGAACAATATTCACCTTCTCCAGGTACGATTAGCCAAACCTACAAAAAGTCAACTTTTGATTTCTTAAGACTATTTTTTGAAAGTTTGTCAGAAATTAATAATTTTCCACCCTGTATAAACGTTTTATCTATGCGACTATTTATGTTTCAGCGCCAGAAGTGTTTCAGGGACCTGAAATTATCGAACAATATTCACCTTCTCCAGGTACGATGAGACAAACCTACAAAAAGTTAACTTTTGTTTTCTTAAGAGTATTTTTTAAGTTTGTCGGAAATTAATAATTTTCCACCCTGTATGTTTTTTTTTTCTATATGTGAATATTTATGTTTCAGCACCAGAAGTGTTTCAGAGACCTGAAATTATCGAACAATATTCGCCTCCTCCAGGTACGATTAGCCAAACCTACAAAAAGTTTTAAATTAAACATAACTTTTTATTTGTTAAGAGTATTTTTTAACAGTTTGTCGAAAATTAATAATTTTCCACCCTGTATAATTTTTTATCTATGTGAATATTTGATGTGTTTCAGCAACAGAAGGACCTCAGTTGGCTCATATTACCGATACATATTTGCCTAATCCAGGTATGATCAACAGTTAACAATACCTACCTACAAATAAATTTAAATTATACTTAACTTTTAATTACTTAAGAATAGTTTTAATAGTTTGTAAAAAATAACTAATCTTTTACCTGTATAATTATGTATTTTATCTATGTAAAGATTTATGTTTCAGAACCGAAAGTAACTCAGTTGCCTACGATTATTGAACATTCGCCTCCTCAAGGTACGCTCAATAATGCCTATAAACTGTTTCAGACTGTATATAATTTTCCTTATGAAATATGACGAATATACTTTATCCGTTGCGGTTGTATTTTATAAAATTTTATAAATTTATGCCGTTCAGCCACCACACACACAATTAATAGATAATTATTAATTTATGACAATAATAGCTATTTAACGAACAAGTTTGTTAATAAAGGCGATTAATAATCGAGATATTTTAACGCGCGCGTTAATGGTCGAGATTATTAATCGCCAATTAACAGTCGAGTTAGTTACAATACTTTTCCGGTGATCGTAATTTAAAAAAATTTACTGAAAGTTCAAAATATTTTTTTATGAACAAACATTAGTTGGATATGTCCAAATCATGACGGATGCATAAAGTGGATCGAAGCATAGAATATTTTGGCCACAAGCGTGCCTTTATGGGAAATTTCGGAGAAGGATGCAAGTAATACGGATTCAGAATACCTTATCACCAGCTTTCCGGCGCACCAAGCAACAGACTGATCGTAGGTTTTTTGATAAAGCATTTTGTTAGTGAGCCCACATTTGCGTTTTCTACTTCCGGAAGAGTTAAAGAATCCATTTCTATGTAATTTCTCATTTTGAATCTTGATTTGGGAAAATTTTGACATTCAGAAATATGAAATTTCACGTACGGATGTGTATACCTGGTTGCCTAAAATCATGCATTAATCGCCTCATTAATAAACGATCACCGGAAAATATACTAAACCAATCATTGTAACGGGCTCATTATCAGCCATAAAAACTTATGAAGTGCAAATAAAATGGACAGAGTATACATGAATTTTGTCGGACTGTATCAAAACGCTTTTTCGCTCATTTGCACCCGTTATAAATATTTTATCTGTGTGAATACTTAATGTTTTAGCATCAGAAAGGCCCACCGGGTACGGCTCTAGTGAAAAATATTTGACGTCTCCAGGTATGATCCACAATAGAAATATTTTTAAATTATTCGAAAGCTTTAATTTTTCAATAATCTATGGGAAATGAGTAATGTTCTCCACTGTATTAGATTTTTGTCTCTTTGAATATTTATGTTCCAGAATTAACAGTAACTGACATGCCTCAAATGTCCGTAAAATTTTCGATCCCTCCAGGTATGACTAATGGTTCAAATAACTTTAAATCATATGTTAACTTTTATATTTCATAACTAAAAGTACCCAGCACGGATCAAGTTTTGAGAGGTACGACGGGCGACAAGATTCAGTATGGAATACCAGGTTATTAAATTTATTGTTAAGTTGACTTAAAGCGTACAGCTTCAGACAGAGTTTATGTTGCTCAAAAATAAATCTACGAGTGCATTTTCTACTTGAACTGTACGTAATGCAAATAAAAAATAAGCTAATGTAATAAAATTATATTTCAGAAACCAACCCTCCACTACGATCGAGTATCCCAGACTTCGAAACACCTCCAGGTATGAAGAATACATAATTTTAATTAATTAAAAAAAATATTAAAACGGTTGCACGAAACTCAATAAAAAAATAATTTTGAATTCCAAAGTGATGGATAAAATTTGGTGTTCTAGGTGGGGTAACGCATTGCATTGTTACTAGAACCTTATACTGACTGTATAAGTAAATGCCTCCGTCCGTTTATAACACAAATAACTGTTATTATTCTTATTGTATAATACGTCGTAATAAGGCCCCTTCAGAACACAATACATTTTTAATGCTTTTAGTCTGGTTTTCAAAGTAACTTTTGAAAAGTTAAAATTTTTAAAAAATTTGACCGGTTTTTCCAAACATACCCTTTTCAAAAAAGTCATCATTTCAAGGAAAATACACCGTTTTTTCAAACAAGAATACGGTTTGGTTCAAACAAATTTCCCTTTTAAAAACATTTAAAATTAGGAATTTTACCTTGATTTCAAAGATTTTACACTGTTTAGAATTTTGTACTAGTAGGCCCCTTGAGAACACCGCTACTTTTTAAGGAAAACACCCCGATTTTCAAGGGTTAACAGAAAAGCAGAAAAATCGTGAAAAGACTCCCGTTTTTAAGATATATTTTAAAATTAACATTTTTTAAAGAATTTGCCCAAGTTTTCGAACTCACCCTTTTCAAAAAAGTCAACATTTCAAGGAAAATACACCGTTTTTTTTCAAAAATGAATACGGTTTCGGCCAAGAAAAGTTACCATTTAAAAACACTTGGATTTTAAAGATTTTGTCTTATTGTTAGGGGTGGGCCACTTCAGTAAAAAAATGAATAGAGTCGGGCAAGGCAATTTATTGATTTATAAATTTATAACTGAATTTGTTATTAAATTAGGAGAAATTAGTGGGGCCGTCCTAGTGGGGCAGTCCAGGATCCGGAGTGGAACGATTGCTACAAACATAACAATAAGGATAACATAAATATAAGTGTTTTCTTACCTCATTCTTAAACATTTTTTTAGATACGCAACGACTTCTCCTTTCTGCGTCACTGTATCAAATCTTAATTTAATGCCTTCCTGCTTTTCAAATATTAGCACCACTTCAGTTATGTTTTCTGTTTGGTCGTTGAAAGTGGCCAAATCAGTCAGTTCTACATTGCCCTGAAAATCCTCAGCGCACATGGTAATAACTCCTAAATCGGGGCCTAGGCTCATTCGGATTCTCACTAGTACCCCATTGATTTGCTTTGCCCCACGTTGGTAACACACATTATCAAATTTCAACATTTTTCTATTTAGTAAGATGTTATTTCTACGATCGCGTTGAAACTGGCGAAATTCAGTGATGGACTTTTTCAGATCCATTTTATCTAAAAACTTGGTGGTTATCTCGAATTTATCTATGTTTTTATACGTACCTTGGAACAACACCCAGAATATGAGGTTAAACATAAGCAACTCATAGAACAGAAGCAACCATAGACAAGGAAGCAACTACTAGCACCTACCCCTACGCCAACTTTCGTTGTGAATTTGAACTTGGAACTAAGATTAAGAGCGGGTAAATTTAAAATCCGCGTTGAGCGTACTTCTGTATAACAAGTTCTTCTTCTATTTTTTCGTGTGCTGCGACAAATAACCAATTATGAACTATTTAACCCAGGAACAATAATAAAGGATTATTAATTAGCAACTAAAAGAATTAATATCCAAATGGTATTGTATCAAAATTTTCGAGAATAACTCTCTTGTCATAAACAAAACCAAATTCCTTTGTTTCTATTTTATTTAAAAGTTCTTTAGTTTTAGTATCTCTGGTAATTCGATTATATTGTGTACTAATTTTACTGTCTTTGTGTTCTAAAATATTATTCATGCTATCGGAATTAATCTTTTCGGACGTTTCATAGTTTAATGTAAATCCTTTAATTTTGCAAACAACTTTACCTGTATTAGTTTTATAACAATAACTTTTTGGACCTGTTGATACCCAATCAGCAATCCATACGTCCTTACCTAATTCGTCGGTCCAATCTCCCAATAGACAACCTGTTTTAACAGTGTTTTTACCATTATCTATATATACAATGCCATCTGTATCATAATATATTACACTTTCTCCTAATATGTCTAACATTTCGTACAATCTTAGTCTAGCATTTGCGGTTGTAAAAGCCGCTATGAATATATTGGTATTGAAATCATTTTCTACATAGCAACCTTTATACTTGTAATCAATTTGTAACATATTTTCGTTTAATTCATTGATATGTATATTATCAAGTCTGTCGTCTAATAAGATCTCATAAAATCTCTTAATATCTGTAACATACTCTGTTGCCCCCATATTTTGTCTTTGACCAAATTTACTCCATAAGGAATTTAAACAGATTTTTGCAACAGCTCTCTTTCCAGGATTATTTTCTATTTTACCCAATTCAATACCTAGATTTTCTTTTACGGCTTTTCTATATTCTTCTTCTGATTCAAAATCATTTCTCCATTCACTTGTCTCTAACTTTATTTTCATAAATGCTTTTACATATCCTTTAAACAAATAACTCGATTTTTGTTCAAAATGCCAAACTTCATCAATAGTTATTATTTTGTATCCTTTTTCAATTGCTTTTCTTACTTCGTTTGTACACCAGGTTCCTCTGATAATTCGTTGAGATTCCGTATGAGTACACTTATCTTTTTGATTATTTAATTTTGCACACAATTGACATAATGGGAATGTTAGTTTTTCATCGCCAGATTTCCTTTTATTTTTAACAGGTAAAATAGGGTGATACAAACCTCTTGGTGGTAAAATTACACATTTTATTAAACCATACCATTTTGAATTATACGTAGGAGGTTTGAATATTTTAGTAGGATGTCCAACTGGATAATCATCATAACATTGTACTGTTGGATATAAACTACAAATATCTATATATTTCATTTTCTTTCCATTAACTTTTAGTTTTGTAGCATTAGTTCTTCCTCCGAAGAACGCATTTCTAGGATTCAGTTCTTCAATTTCTTTATATTTGCTTTTAATTTGTTTCATTTCTTCTTTATATTCTTTAGATTTAATCCAATTGCATTCCCACATTTCTATTAAATTATAGCCATCTTTTTTTATTTGCTCGCTTCTTTCTATTGTTTGTTCATAAAGATCTTCCATAGTTGTTTTATTCTTATTATTAATAAAATCTGAACTATAACATTTTGTACAACCATGCCAAAAACAACCGCGATATTGATAGACTGTATTAGTTTTTTCATCAAAGCCATCAACTTTTGATCTACATATTCTCACTTCACCATCGTTTAATGCATGTTTTATATTTGGATTATGAAAACTATTCAACCAAGAAATTGATTGTTGAGAATATTGATCTTTTTTTAGATTATCAACAACTGCAATTGTATCTTTCTTAATATATTTTGATCTATATATAGCCATACAAACACCAGCAATTGTAATGTATCTAAAAGGATCTATGTTAGCTATTTCTAGAAATTGTTTTCTTAATTCAAGACATCTTCTTCTTAATATATCCACATTAGAATTACAATAATCATAAAGTTCATTTTTAAAATCAAATAAATAATTTTCTTTTCTTTTTTGTTTATGCCATTCTAAAAACTCTTGCCCATCTTTTATTTTCATAGAATTAATACCATAGTATTTTGTATTTGGTATTTTTCCAATATAGTTCTGATTTTCTGTTGCATTGAAAAAATGTGGAAAATAACCTTTTTTAAGTTCGTTTAGGCCGAATGTTTTCGGGAAGTTTTTTAAAGGTCCTTGAACAAAATTACTACTATCAATAATTCTTAAATGAATTGATTTTATTTCCATTAACATTATTTTAGATCCATTATATATGCAGAAAGGTTTAATACCGTTTTCAACGCAATATTTTAGAATAAAGTAAGAATCATAACCTTTGCCATAATGTGCAATAGCTGTGTATCCTTTATGATCTCTAGAAACTAACCATTTACAGAAATCTTTGTTAGTCTTAAAAGAATCAACATTACCGTAAAAATCGTGAGCTATAACTAAATTAGGTACGTGTTTGCCCGTTTCTTGCATCGCCTCATAATCAAAGAATAAATATTTTTGTGTGTAAGAGCATTTAGTTGTATTAAATGAACATCCGCAATTAAGACATTGATAACCGTTTTCGTTCTTCCTTGGTATTTTAACACAATTTTTACATTCTTTACGTTGATAAATGTGAGATTTTACTCTTATGTTTGTTTTATTAGGAAAAGTTACGGTACAACCTATTTTACTGCAGTTTCGGCATCCTTTTACTTTGTATTCTTCACCACCGTCTTCGGCTTTGCCTTTGGGCTGGCCCTGCCAGTCTTTTTACTTTTGTTTGACAGATTCCACCTTTTTGCCGCTTCCATTCCATGTAACATTTATGTTTACGTATTTCAACCTCTTTATAACAATTTCTACATTTTTCCCAGCCACATTTGTGTTCTTTACTACCCTCTTCTATCATTTTATTACCTCTTTCAATAATTTTATTACATTTTTGGACCATTTTCGGTTTTGTACAGATTAATCTATTTCCTTCTTCAATCATTTTTTTACCTTCGTCGACCATTTTATCACCTCTTTTGAGTATTTTATTACACTTTAAGCATTTATGAAATCTTTCACAAACTTCAGAATGATTTTCTAAACATTCTTGATTTGATTAAAACAGTATCTATTGCATTTTTCGCAATATATTCTTTTAGCAGAGTCTTCTTTGTGATTAGATTTGAAACACATTATGCATATTTTATCCTTTGTTTTGCATTTATGTTTATCTTTGTTTTGATATGGTTTATCAAATTTTTTACAATAATAAGATTGACCATAGAAAGCTGTCATACTACCAATTGTATCAAAATGATTTCCATTTTTATATAAATATATTTTTATATCTTTTTCGGGCCCCGAATATATTATGGAATTAAAGCATTCCGCTGCTACGACTTTTATTTGAATATTTAATACTTTTTCTATATTTGCAATATCATGTAAGGTAAAATACTCTTCATTATATTCTCCAAGCTGATTACATAGCTCTTGAGCTAAAGTTGTTTGTAAATTTCTTCCCATTCTTATATATTTTAATTCATTATCATTATATTCCTTACCGAGTATAATGTTTGTATGATAAGTTAATCCAACAATAACGGCTCTTGGACAACATAATCTATCTTTATTTTTTATTTGTGTTATACTTTTCTTTGTTCTTGAGTCTTCTGCTATATTTAACAATCTTTTCGCATTAGTGGCACCTCTAGGCATATTAACTACTTCTACATTAAATGTACAAGTGTATATATCTAAATCTTCATTTGAAGTTAAGATACGTTGAATTTTGTTTAATAAATTATCATCAGTCGTTCTTGATAATCCGGTGGAAATAGGTGTCCAAAGATGGGTGTGGTTAACTACTATATTTAATAAGTCTCCTTGTTTAAATTTTGTTTTCTCTTTTACTGTTTTAATCATATCATTCAATCCTTCTCTAATGATACTAATTTTTTTCATAATTAGGTCAGAAACATCGGACTCTAACGATTCTTCTTCATCTTTCAATAATATAATTTTATAGTAAACTTTATGTGTATTCCATTTTTTGCTGTATTCAGCTTTTGTTTCTATTATTTTAAATTTAGGTTTTTTTGAAAACTCTGTAAAATAATCATCTTCGATTGCAAAAGGTTCCTCACCAATTTTTTGTAATAATTCTGCCTTCTTCATTTTTGAGTAACTTTTGATATTCTTTTCTTTGGCAAGTTTTCTTAGTTCTTTCAACGTTTTATTTTGAGTCGATTTCTCTAATATTTCCTTCAATATTTCTTCTAATCTTGGCAATTCAATTTCATTAAGAAGTGTGTTTACATTATCATTGTTTACATTATCTGAAATTTGTTTCAATAGATATATTTGTTTACTATTTCTCTTTATCTTTAAGTTTAGTTTGGTAGCAATTGATTTTAATTTTTTAATACTAACCCTGCTTAATTTTCTATGCCAATCTCCAGCATCCGACTCTTCTTTTAGAATTAGCCGTATAAGAACTGATTTAGTCTTTGAGTTATATTTTGAATAGTTCTTTAAGCCCTGTTTTTTTGCAATAGATTTTAATTTTTTTAAGCTTAGCTTATTTAGTACAGATTCATTATTTGACGGTAGTGGTAAAAAATATTTATCCATCCAAGACGATTTATGAGTTGAAGATGAACTAGAAGACGATTCTGGTTCGACATCTTTATTAATTTGTTCAATTATTTCACCCACTTTTTTTAAATCCCTTTTAGTAAGTTTTACAATTTCCTCAAGACTCATTTTAAGAAGTTGATCTTTCTGTATTTCCATTTATGACTGATTCTACAAAAATGGGAATTTTCAAAAGACCACCAATGATTGTCCTTATGTAACATAAATATTGTCTTGAAGTTTGTTTACAACAAAAGATCATACATGAATTGACACCGGCAAATGATAAATAGTTGATAAAATATGCTAATAAGTTTATAGAAACATTTTTAAAACATAAAATTCTCAGTTCCCTGGTCTGTCCTCACCCTGTAAATTGACATGTGGTGTGTTATAAAATAAGTAGCATTGCTGCTAATTCAAGTATTGTGGCACATACTTA